TCAAGTCCAAAATCACAGACGAGCAACAAGCGTTCAAGGGATACGCCAACACCTACTCGGTAAGTGATATAAGGTTAAAAGGAATGAAAGGTTTATCCTACTTAAAATACCAGAAGCAACGACTGGCCGAATTCCTGAACAGAAACCCGAACATGAAAATAATCGTGGAAACCGATTTATCATTCAAAAATCCCGCCAACGAACTTATTCAAAGGCGGTTAAGAAGCAGAAGATACAATATTCATAATCCCGACGAGTTGAACACCGTCTTAAACAACATTGGGCACGACATTGAGACACAAATTGAAATAACCGAATACATTCAGTCGGGATTGGTTCTTGGTCAAGTTGAAAAGTTAGTCATCAGTTATGATAGGTACAATCCTACCCGTGGTTCATCCTTTATTCCATTGCCCGACTGGGTGGCAAACAAAAAGGCTTGTATTAACATTAAAAATGAGGACGACTTATGTTTTAAATATTCCGTTCAATGTGGATTTTATGAGTTATTCAAAAAAGACCATCCCTGCGAGATGTATCATTATAAGAAATATGTAGATGACAAATTTATCAAATGGGATAATATTGACTTTCCAGTAGGTAATGATGAGATTGAACTATTTGAAGAACAGAACAAACACATATCGGTCAATGTTTATTACATAAACCCCGATACGAATAGTAAAACTATTTTATTATACAAAAGAAGCAACAACCCACAAGCACAACACAAAATCGATTTGATTAAATTGACTGATGATGTTAAATCCCATTACGCTTATATCAAAAATTATGATAAGTTAATGAGTAGTCAGACTAACAAGATGAAGGCGAAGAAGTATCACTGTAGAACCTGCTCACATGGTTTCAAGACCGAAGAACTTTTAAAGAAACACGAAGAACAAGGATGTCTAGCAGTTGAGGGTCAAAAAATAGAAATGCCAGAAGCAGGTGAAACAATAGTATTCAAAAACCATTTCAAGAAACTTAAAGCTCCATTCGTAATCTATGCCGACTTTGAATGTTTAACTGTGCCAATTGATGTTAAAAGCAAATCGGCAAAAGCTAAAACTACATCATATCAAAATCATCGTCCGTGTGGTTTTATGATTAATGTAGTCAATGCTATAACCGGAAGTAGTGAGCCTTACTTATACAGAGGTCAGGATTGTATGGATAAATTTGTTGAGAAAATCAATAAAGTCAGAGAGGAAGTTTTGGAGAAAATGAAGGAGGACAAAGACCGTATTGAAACCGAGAAGGACTGGGAGGACTTCAATAATGCCACTAACTGCTTCATTTGTGGAAACAAATTTGAGGAAGGAGAAAAGAAGTGTTGGGACCATTGCCACTTTACGGGGCAGTATAGAGGTTGCGCCCACGAGGACTGCAATCTACGATTTAGTATGAGATATTATAAAATCCCTGTGTTTCTTCATAACCTTAAAAACTACGATGCCCACTTAATCATCAACAAGGCTCACGAACTGAACAAGAATTCTAAAATAGAATGTATCGCTCAGAACAGCGAAAAGTTTATAACCTTTGGTTTTAAAAATCTTTGTTTCAAGGACAGTTTCAGTTTCTTATCGTCTTCGTTGGATAAGTTGGTGAAGTTGAGTAAATATGAGGATGATAAAAAGCGTGAGAATTGGAAGAACAATTTCAGATACAGCGTTAGAAACCCGTATGTTAAAACCGATGAAGATTTGGATTTATTGACTGATAAGGGTATTTATCCCTATGACTACTTTGATGATTTTGAAAGATTTAAGGAAAGGGCTTTACCACCGAAAGAAGCGTTTTACAGTAAATTGAGTGAAGAACATGTAAGCGATAAAGATTATGAAAGGGCACTGAAAGTATGGAAGCACTTCGGGATTAGAACACTCGGGCAGTATCACGACTTGTATTTAAGAACTGATGTTTTACTACTGACCGATGTATTTGAAAACTTTAGGGACTTGTGTATGGAATACTACGGTTTAGACCCCGCTCATTATTATACGTTGCCAAATTTCGCATGGGACGCGATGCTTCTAAAAACTGGTGTTGAAATAGAACAATTGCATGACCAAGAAATGTTTGAGATGGTTGAAAAGGGAATGAGAGGTGGTATGTGTCAGGTAAGTCATAAATTAGCGGTGGCAAATAATAAGTATATGGAGGAAGCATATGATGAGAACAAGCCATCAAATTATATTAGCTACTTGGATGCTAATAACTTGTATGGTTTAGCAATGTCCCAGAAATAACCGCTAAAAAATATCAAGTGGGCAAAGAAAACGCCCAGTGTTGAAAAATGGAATGAAAACGATGAGTTCGGTTATATTATGGAAGTTGATTTGGAATATCCCGAAACATTGCACGACTTCCACTCTGACTATCCACTAGCGCCTGAAATAATGAATGTAAATGTTAGTATGCTTTCTGATTATCAAAAGCAAGTCTACAAAATATATTATGATGGCAAAAATCCCAAGGATGAGAAAACAAGTAAGTTAATATTAAATCTAAAGGATAAAGAAAAATATGTGGTTCATATCAAGACTTTACAGTATTATTTGAAAATGGGATGAAAATGGGTAAAGTCCATAGGATAATAAAATTTCAACAGAGGGCATGGTTGAAACCGTGGATTGACTTCAACACTGGTAAAAGGAAAGAAGCCAAAAGCGATTTTGAGAAAGATTTATTCAAATTAATGAATAACGCGGTGTACGGAAAAACTATGGAAGACAAAAGAAACCATATGGACTTTGAACTGGTTGATAATGAGGTAAGATATGAAAAATGCGTTAATAATCCAACTTTCAAAAATAGATTTATTATTAATGAAAATCTCGTCGGAGTTGAGAAAACTAAAGCAAAACTGAAACTGGATAAACCGATTTTCTTAGGAATGAGCATTTTAGATTTAAGCAAATTACATATGTATCAGTTTTATTATGAAGTATTGAAAAAGAAGTATAATGAAAACATCAAATTGATATATACTGATACTGACAGTTATGTAATTCAAACAATGACTGATGATGTCTATAAACATTTCAATGAGATAAAGCAACACATGGATTTTAGCGACTATCCTGTTGAGCATCCATGTCATGACAAAACTAATAAAAAGGTCTTAGGAATGTTTAAGGACGAAGTGAATGGAAAAATCATTACTAAATTCATCGGATTGAAACCTAAATCTTATGCCTTCACAATTCATGGTGAGGATGATGAACATAAGAAATCAAAAGGTGTAGTCAAACACAAAGTGAAAAAAGAACTGTCGTATCAGAACTACCACGAAGCATTATTTCAAAACAAAAAGCATGAAATCACATATAACTTCATCAGAAGTAAGTCGCATCAAATATATTCAATGTCTCAAGTCAAGCAAAGTCTGAGTAATTATGAAAATAAAAGGTTTTATAGTGATGCTTTCACTTCATTACCATATGGGCATTATTCCATAAAATAATTATCTAGATAGTTCTAATAATATGAAATTATTAGAATTATTTTCAGGGACAGGCTCGGTTGGTCGGGTTGCTCGGGATTTGGGTTTTAGTGTTATTTCCCTTGATTTGAAAAATGCAAATATCAATACTGATATTTTGAGATATTCTCGTTTCTCTTGTCTTATAAGTATATTGGGTTTGGGATTGGGTTTGAAACTGGAAATGTGGGTTTGGGGATGAGGTTGAAACTGAACATATTGAAGTTTATGTGTTTGTTGGTTTTGGGGGAGTTGAGAAATGGGAGATTTGGTCCTTGTTTTGGTGGGATTGGGATAACAACAAAAGCAAAAGACCCACAATCCCTACCCGCTCCCTCAACCAAAACCTCATAGACGACAGTGTTGAAGGCGATGTTCTGAATGACGTCTCAACCTCAGGACAGAGCAAATGTGGGGAGCGGTGGGAGAAAAGGGGGTGGTGGTGGTGTTGGTGGTGGTGGTGTACCCCGATTTTGGGGTAAACCTTACCCCATTACCCCGATTTTGGGGTAGCCCTTACCCCTTACCCCAGCTTTGGGGTACCCCTTACCCCGTTTTTGGGGTAGACCTTACCCTTCTCTCAGTATAAACCTTACCCTTGCCCAGATTTCGGGGTAGACCTTACCCTGACTGAGGGGTAATCATCACACATATTTTTGGGGTGTCTTCCAACCTCTGCGGTCGCGCTGTCCTCACATTTTGTTTTACCCTTCTTCCAAGAGCAAAGTCTGGTTTCTGAGCGGGCTGGCTCTCGTCCGTTGCGTTTGCGTACCCCGAAGCCGAAGAAGGTTGAGTGCTCTTGGGTGCCATTGTTCAGACCGAAGGGTTTGAAGCAAAGCAGGGCAGAGTGAGGGCACGATTGATGAGAAATGGCTGTTTGATGGACGACAGGCAAAGTCCAACTGGACGCAATCTCAAACATCAAGTTGTTGAAGTAAATAACGTGGCGACAAGTCAAGCTTTGAAGACTGCTTACCCCTCTCAACACCATTCTTTCACTGGCTCTCCAAACATATGTCTGATACTGGAAGATGTTCAGAGCAAACGACACACTGAGTGTCTGGCTGAAACAATGAAGTAGAGGATGAAGACGTGGCGTGGTGGCAAACGACCGAATTAAAGGGACGAGCGACCCAAAAGCAAACACACCACCAACACCCCAGAACTTGATAACTACTAAAAGGGCTACCTCTTTCAAATGAAAAAAATGTCTGCCCCCAGCCCAACAATGAACAAGGGGGGCAATTACCAAAATGATTACCTTAACGAAAACGATAAATAAGCTCCCTAAAAACCCTCTTTTAAAAACGAATAAGGGGGAACACAGATTTGAGATGAACATAAAAACCAGAACAGGCAACCCTCAACAGGCCACCCCCCAGGCCCCCTACTTTTACCATTTTTTGGGGGGGGGCAGCTTCAAAGGGCTACCAAAAGGGAAACAAACTGCATTTTTTCGCGGGTCCGGGATTTTTCGAGACAAAGCCATGCCTCGCTTATATCTCGTGCCAGGCTTTGGCCGAGCAGTTTCCCATCACCCACGGGCAGTCGGTGAAGGACTCAAACGCCCTCGGTGTGTTGGGGCGTGGTCTATTAGGGCGTCCCACGGTGGATGATGGGAATTTGCAGGGTTTCCCTTGCTCCCTTCTGGGCATCAACATCCGTAGGTGTCCATTTTATGACGGTTTGGTTGAAAATGGATGGCTTTGATTTCAGTTTGGTTTTATTCCATTTGCGAGTGCTATCTTTTTTGCCAGAAGGACACCTATGCCTGGATCCTTTTTGAGGGTTCCCAGCCAGACCTTTGGAAGCCTAGCTGCATTCACGAGATATCATGTATCTCAACTTTAGCAAGAGATCAACAAACAAACCCTGGTGATCAAAAATCTCGCAGCCATGGGCTGGTGGGTTGCCCCCTTGACTGTCCCCGCCTCTACGTATGGGAAAAGTACAGCGTGCGCGGGCGGTTCCTGCCAAGTCCATACATGTCCCGGGGCAGACGAGAGTGAATCCATACCTTCTGACGGAATTGGGGTCCGAGGGACGTTATGTGACTTACTCCGCGTTCTTTAAATCAGGCACGAGGGGGCGGGGGTTCTTGACTCCGCGTTTGTCCAACCAGGTTCATTGCGGGCCTGCCGCGTTTTCCCGGTCCGCTTCTGCAGGAGCTTTTCAGAGGCTGCCGCCTTCACTTCAACCGCCTGGTGAAGGACGCCTTGGCAGACGGGCATCGGACTAATCAAGAGGGCCATGGTGTTCAGGGGGTTACCGTGTGGGACTTGCTTCCGGCAGATTTATCAGGTTTCCGGAATCCGAACTCCACAATTCTTTGGGTTGCCGACATCCGCACCATCGGATGACTCCGTGGTAAGACCAAGCTGGACTGAAGCTCGGTCTTCCTCGGGCTTCCTTTTCAGCCAGTAAGGGCCTAAGGAGTTCAGAGACGCGAGACAAAAACGAGGGGTCTCCGTACAAACAAAAGCGATGTTTGTGACTGTGTGGTTTCCTCCAAATCGCGAGGGTTGATCGACGATCTCCAAGTCACATGTGGGCAAAGCGTTGCCAGCTGGGGCAAAATGGGCTCCGCGAGCCTTCTGCAGCGCGGATTCGTTATCTCCAGTTTGTGGACGATGCTTTTCTTTGCCCATGACATTTCTTTCCCTTCCCTGTTTGTCCACACAACTGGCCATGGATTTTGGGGGAGCCACGGGGCCACAAAAAGGAGCCACAAACAACACCCGAAGTGGGAGCCGCATCCAGGCTCCCAACATTGAACATTGGCAAGCCAAGCCGTTGTTCGATGTCTGTTTCTCAGGCGACCCTTAACGTTTTGAAATCCGCCTCAAGTTCCCTTCTCGGAACCTCCAAAAGTGAGCAGAATCAACAAAAACAACAAACAAACAATAGTTTAGTACACTCTTCCAGGCGGCCCAGTGTGCCCCCAGTGGGACGGATTCCGAATGGCACGCTTCCCATGGGAAGCTCTCAGAAGCTCTGGGGAAGACTTGGTCCCATTTCCGGTGGCCTTCTGGGAGGTTGGTTAGCAGGGAATGAGACATGGACATGACCCATTTCTATCCATCCAACTGGTTGCCTTTATTCGGGGACCCCTGAGCCTGGGTTCATGCGACCACATCCCCCACTTATCGCACCAGCAAGTATTTCAGTAGCTTCTTCTTTCTTTCTTTTTTAAAGAGGAGATATTTCCTATTGATGAAAAATCGGATTGGGCCACCCAAACCACTTCCCACCAAACAGCCCGGTGGGTTTGGGTTGGACGTCCGGGGCCCCGGTGGCCCCACGAGAGGACCTCAGCGAGAACGACCTGGACAAGGCGCGCCTGGGCCTGGGCCACGCCTTCAGCCGCTCGAGGATGCAGCTGGATCCCAACCGCCAGGAGGGCCGGATTTCTTTTTGTTTGGCGCCCGCCAGGGTGGCCTGGGGTCTTTCTTTTTTCTTTTTTTCTTCTATTTTTTTTTGTCTCCCTTTTCGGGGGAAAGGGGGGGGGCCTGGGGGTTCTCAAAAAGTCGGAAAATTGGGGCTGCGGGGGTCACTCTTGGACAATTTCCGGGGGGCAAAATGCGATGGGGACAGTGGATCCGGGTGCTCGGAGCTGCGCTGAGCTTCCTTCGCGGGGCTCTTGTGCTGTTCGCGTGGGGGTTTGCAGGACAAGCCCATTATGAACACCATTGCATTGCTGGACAACCTCGACAAGCCCCTTGCCATGAGCTGTCACACGCGGGTATGCGGGCACGTGAGATGTCCAGAATTCCAAGGATTTTCCGTGCGATGCTGATTCCCAATGGCCAAAACGGACACCAGAGCTGCACTCGTCCTACCGTTGTTTGTTATTTTGCCCTGTTGATGCCCCAAGTTCATTTGCAATCCGCGCAAAAAGTGCCGCAGGCATGAACGGTAGCATGAGCTCACGTCCGGGAAAGGCAGACGCTTCCCTGGTGGATGAACTGGCCATGGTTTGGATTGGTGGTTTAAAAGTCAGAACCTGGTTTCCCATTTATCCTCTACAACAGCCAGGGGTTCAAGTCCCCACCAATCCAAATCACCAAGGGGTAGCTGGCCCAAACCTCAAGGGACAGTGGGATGCTGTTCTAAGATGGAAGTGGTTGAACACTCCCCTACAAAGTAACATGGAACCCAAAAGGGAGGTCCCCAAAAAGAAGTTTCCTCTACAAATTGTGTTTTTGGTTGGAAACCACGTAAACCTGTGGAGCACTTCCGGCCACCATTTCTGTAGGACATTCCCGCCCGTTCAAACCACTTGTTTTGGGACCCCGAGAAACGAGTGGGGTGACCACTCTGGCCGTCCTGCCCGAGGAACATCAACACCTTCGCCATGCGAGTCCGGGTGGCCCGGCGGAAGGGTTGGAGTCTTGGGAGCCTACCCTCACGCCATGGCAGCTGACCCGGACCCGGTGCCTCCTTCCCTCCTTCTTTTCTGTTTTTGTTTTTGTTTCTTTTTTGTTTTGTTTGTTTGTTTGTTTGTTTGCTTGTTTGTTTGTTTGTTTGTTTGTTTGTTTGTTTGTGTTTGTATTTGTATTAGGTAATTGTTTTTTTTTTTTTTTTTTTTGTGTGTGTGTGTGTGTGTGTGTGTGTTTGTTTTGGTTTTTTTATCCTCCAGGTACCCTTCTTGAAAAGGCCATGTTGGTGGGAGGAAGAGTACGTCGGACTTTTTGGGAAGTGCAGGGTTTGGAGAGCGTTTTTCATTCTCTAGCCTATCATCATGCAACCTGACTGGAGGCCCCCGGAATCTTTCACAAGGCCACTAGCCAGATCTTCCTTTTGAAAGGACCTGGTTGCTTCCATGATGGGAAGGGCGGAGAAAAGCAAAAGATTAAGGAGACCACTTTGGAATCTTAACCATTCCCTTTGGGCAGTGAATTCAGCAGAAAACAACTTGCTGCATAGGTCCCTTTCCCCATTTGACTCCGCCAAAAACCGATGTGTGGATAGGAACCACCTGTTGCAAAGAAAGGTTGTCTTTCCATTTGCTTCCCTTGTTGGTTTCAGACTGGACTATATTGTCCACTTCTTCTCCAGTGGGCGAAAATGCAAGTGGAAGTTATGGGAAGCATAGGTGTCCCTTTTGGTTGTTTTGCTTGAACAATAGATGGCGATTCCTGGTTTACCTGGTGGGTTCATCATCCATTAGGGATATCCATCTACTTTCCCTTTAAAAAACGCCTATGATAAAAAGACACCGAACGGCTCTCCTTCTCAGAGCGCTCCTCGGGGAGAGCTCCTCTCTGAGGAGTGGTACGCCTGGCACTTCCCGGAGCTCACGAAGATCGTCACGGACAACATCGCCTATGCCAAGGTGAGCCGGGTCATCCGCGCGGGGGGCCTCGGATCGGAGTCTCGGATCGGAGCCCCGGATCGGAGCCCCGGATCGGAGCGAGAGGTTTTGGAGGGCCCTCGGATCGGAGCCCCGGATCGGATCCCGGGAGAAGGAGGAGGGTGCGGAGCTAGTTGCTGTCCTGTTTCTGTAGTGTTTCTGTTTGTGGCTGGGGCCAACGCACATCACGTCAATCACCAGGCCCGAAAATGTGGAAAAGGTGCTTGGCCATTTTCCCTGTGCTTGCGCGGGTTCCGGAAGTTTTCCGGGGGTTGCAATTGCGGATGCCTGGGCGTATTTCAGTCTCTACCTTGGTTTTTCTTCTTTTCGTGTGGATGGTCAGCTCCTTTGTGCCCGCTGGCACCCCACGAGCCGCCCAAAGCCCATCCCATGAATATTAGCGGGTGGGCGCAAGCCATTTGGGAGGATGGTCACTTCCCGGAAACTTGAACCCCCTCATTTTGCCCAGACCTGGCGATGGTTCAAATGGCCACTGAGTTGAGCAACTCCTGTCGGGGAATCCCGCGACCCCTTGCAGACCCCCACTAGCAAGCGACTATTATTCCGAGTTCATGCCTCCCCGAAGTGGATAGCCATGTGGTGCTGGTGGTGCTGGTTTGTTCACCGAGGTGAGGGACAACTTCGAAGGCGGAGCCGTCGATGGGATCGGTCGGCTTGCTCCCCAAAGCGACTCAAGTGTTGAGCCGCGGGCAACGTCCGATGTGGGGGTCTTGCGTTTAGTGGTCACCCGTTCAAGCCAGGTTGATTTCCAGATCGGTTTTCCGCATTCAACCCTTAGGGTCAATTTCAGGGGGTTGCCCAGCAGGACTTTCTTTCGCAAAGCCCGGCAGGTCATTCCAGCGCCCAAGCCCCAGCCTCAAACAGAAACACATTCAGATATTTTGAAGGCTTCTTTCTTGGCAGCATGTGATTCTTGGATGCTTCTCTCGTGCGCGTCCCAGCGAACAGACCGGCCGCCTCGCTAGTCGCTTCGGTCGGGGAACATTTTGCCTATTGCGAGCTCCGATTTGGGATGATGTAGGTTCCTTCACCTTCATTTTTGGGCTTGGAGTTGCAGTTCAGGAATTTTAAGTCCTTTGCCAGCGCTTCATCCTCATTTTCCCGTTCAGGACTTCTATTTACATGTTGGTCTTCGGACAAAATGCAAACAGCTCGTGACCAGGCGAAGTTCACCCACCCGCCACTCGGCAGGAGACAAGGAGGCCCTCAGCGAGGCCGCTGGCTCTGAGGAGGTGGCGGACGAGATCTTGTTGCTCGGCCGGGGGAGGGGTGGTTTCGGGTGGTTTCCAGGGGTGAGAATGGCGGGGGAAAATGGCTGGGGCGGGGTCGACAAACATGGGAAGTGCACAGGCAAACAAGCACGTTTTGTGGATTTTCGGAAGCTCGGTTTCAGGACTTTCTTGCACTCCATGCTTGTTGGGGGGTGGAGGGTGGGGGGTAAGCTGGGTCGGTGATGATGTTTCGAGGCTTTCGGGATGGCGACCTCTTTCGGCTGACTAAGCTATTGCAACTGCCCAAGTTCCTCCTGCGTGACACAATCACACAGACATTTACAATGTTGCAGCGCTTTTTTGCCCTGCTTTTGCTTGTGCTTTCCCCCCGGAGCACGAGTCCCGGATGCAATTATGCATGTTGCACTGCCCTTTGTGAAATTGGGGACGCCCTTTTAGGTGAATAATTTCAGTGAAGAATAGGTCGCGCCCGAACCGTGTGTTTCATTTTGAGTAGGGTTGCCAAGCCACATTTGGGGCATATGAGTCACGGTCGAAATATGCGTGGATCACTTTAGTAAAGCGGGGTTGGCAGCATGAATTTGCAGAACGCCTCGCAAAACGTGAGGGCCCCCCACATCAGAACGCTGTAAAGCGATAGGGTTCCCACCAAAAACGATAACTACTTGTTTTCTTGTCAAGCAAACAAATCAAAAGCACAAAAAAACAGATTCGGCGCCATGCGGCGCCCCCTAATCCCAAAGCTGGAAGTGCGAATATATCATTGTCTTTGCAGAGGAAGGCTTCGCCATTGAAAAAAGACACGGCAAAACGAAAGGGAGAGGAGCTCAAAGCACCTTGGTTTCTGAAATGGAGCCTTCCACCGTGCCTTCGACCGCCACTCAGGAAGGCGATGAAGATGTCCATGGGCCAGGAGTGGCGTACTGTTGACTCCAGATGAATCAACCTGTCCCACTGTGGATGGACGAAATCCATTTCGCGCCACCCAAGAAATCACGGGGAAACCATTTGTTTTTTGACCTTTGCGGGGGAATCATCATTCCAGGGTTTGTTAGATGCAGGATTTTCTCAAAACGGTCTCATTTTGTTTCCACAAAACGAGCTCCCTACCCGTAGGGCGCATAGCGCATCTTTCACCGCACGTAGGACATCGTGGAAATGGATATGAAGAACATCGACCACTTTGCAAGCGAGGTGATCAAGCTTGCTGACATGCCTTCACCCCAGTGAAGGGGTCTCAAGTGGTTTTAGTTGAGGGCTCCTGAGACTCACTTCGGCGGATTGAAGTGAACCTTTCCGAGGGTTTTGGACATGTTGGGTTTGGGGGATTTTTTTGGTGTCCTTTTTCAATGGATCACCTATTCTATTTGTCCCAACTCAGGCGGAAGACGCTGCATGAGTACCTCAAGGCGTGCGAAGAGTCGCCGCTTCCCTCATTTTGTCCCGCCTTTCGGGACTGGTGCAGCTGCTGACTTGGGAACACAGACTTCTTGTGGTTTGTGCGTGGAATGGTCGGTGAAATCTGTGTTAGGGTGGGTGTTGTTGTGCGTGTTTGAGGCATACACTGGCGGATATATATACATACACATATGTGTTCAACATCTGCTATAGCAGCTGTATCAAAGCTCAACTGTTAGTGCATCGTGGGGATATCATGTTTGCAGGACGGTACGCAGTTCTTCATCAGGATCCAGGATTTCTTCCCAGAACCGGTCAATGTCAATTATGGCACATTGGTTGGAGTGTGCCAGACAAAAAATATCAAAATCTCACAATCATAGGTGTCCTTTTGGAAAAATAGGTGGCCCTGGTAAATGGAATCAAAGCTGCCAAACTGACCTAAAAAGGACATGATCACAACATCCCCAACCGACTTTGCCCCGGCGTTTCCGCAGCTGGGTCCCCCTTGTCTCCTAGCAGGTAACCAGACTCGATAGGCCAAGATGGACCTGGTGGCCCCCAACTTGGGCGCGCTGATCGGGGAGATCATCGGGGCCCGGCTCATCTCGCACGCAGGCGAAGCGTCGCATTCAGCTCCCCGAGGTCCTTCAAGACTCATGGCTGGTCTCAAGGGCCGAATCGCTTCAAAAGGATCTTTTGGAATAGACAACTGGCATTTTTATATGAAACCTGCAACAGGTCGGAGAGCAACCCAGGACTGTATACGTTTTGGAAAGACCGCCTCGGTGGCACGCAACAAGATTCGGACATTGTTGCCCCATCCGCTCAGGAAGTGAGCTATGGAGCCTTGGAGGGGTCCCATCTCCTGAGAAACTCCGAAAGGGTTCGTGTTTTTTTTCTTTTTTATTACCCCCCCCCCCCCCCCCCTTTAAAAAAAAAAGAAACTGTTTGTTCTTCTTTTTTTTTGGTGTGGGTTCAAAGCAACGGAGTTCTCTTATCCGTTTCGGAGGTTCATGTCGTCCCCGCATTTATCAACCAAACATATTGGGGAGGGGCATTTCTCTCAGCAGCGCCTCTTAAACGGGATCCTGCTTTGGCCAACCAGGAGTGAATGCTTCCCGTCAGAATTACCTCATTTGGATGCACACTCAAATGGGACCGTTTCTCTTCTTGTTTCTTCTAGAATGGGTTCCGCTACCCCAAAGCCACTACGCCAACACAAGCACTAGGAAAACCGCCTTTTTTGGACATGCTATGAAGAGCAGCATGTACTCCGATTTCCCTTGGGGGCACTTAGGGGCACTTACTTGTTGGGGGTGCTGAGAAAGTCGCTCGAAATCATGGTTATATTATACCTATACACACACACACGCACACACACACACACACATATGTATATATACAATATACATGTACCTGAACGACCAGAAACACCATACGCCCGGCTTATCTCTTTGTCCCTAGCTTGGCCCGCGGAGCATCCGAGATTACCAGGGAGCCTCACGAACCTGGCCAAGTACCCCGCGAGCACCGTGCAGATCTTGGGGGCGGAGAAGGCGCTCTTCAGGGCGATGAAGACGAAGGCGCAGGGGGAGGGAGGCTTGGCTGGTTGGTTGGTTGGTTGGTTTGGTTTGGTTTGGTTTGGTGGGGTGGCTTGGTGGGGTGCTTGGTGATGTCTTGGGGCGAGGTGGGGCGAGGAGGGGGGAGGTGGGGGGGGGAGGAAGGAACCGAGTTGACAACCCAGAGATTTCTTTTGAAGAAACACCTTTAGGCTGCGGAGCCAGGGTTGCGGGAAGGTCCCTACATGTTCAGAGGATGTGATTTGGTACCTGACAAGGTCCCACGAAGGCTGGGATTAGGGATGCTCCAAAAGCGGACGTTTCCATCAGCCCCCCCCCCCTTATGAATCAACCAGGGGTTTGTATCCTCCACATCGGCAACCCCCCTCCCCCCCCGCCCGCAAATGACCACCCCACTTCCATGTGAAGTGTGTGGTTGGAGCCCTCTCCGTCAGGGCCCCGGTGCAACAGCACCCAGCCTAGTCCTGGGGGCCCGGGGGTTAGACGAATTCAGTACTCCTGGCTCCGCAAGCGCTGCCTTGCCGCCAGGGCAACACGCCCAAGTACGGCACCTTGGCGCGAGAGCTTGGGAGGCCAGCCGAGCTTTCGGGGCTTTTTGTTCTTTGCCTTCAATCCAACACCACCTGAATCGTGCGGGAGGCCCAAGCAGCTTTTTTATGGCTCGCTCAGTCGCGCGTCCACACTTTTTGGGGCCTGGTAGTTCAGTCGGCTGGTGTAAGTTTGGGCTTTCATTCGGTCATTCGACACCGAGGTTTGATTTTCCACTCCACCTTCATTGGCCGGGCCCAGCAGAAGAACAAGGGCAGGATATCGAGGCGGGCCAGATGCCCAGCCGAGCGCTCGGCTCTCGCCGGTGTAGGCCCAGGATGGCTGTCGCTACCTTTGCTATGGTCAGTCTTGCCCTGCGGCTGTCCTCTGGGCAAGGTGGCTGCCATGGTAAGTAGATGGTGCCCACGGATACTAACCACTTGCCTGACGTACCAGGCCCCAAAGGCGCCAATGCAGGGTTAAACGGCCTGTTTACTTGGGCTTGGCAGGGGTGGTTTTTGCAAATCAGGTCCAGTTTCAATCACACGAACGGAAAAGGCACCCCCTGATCGCAGAACCCACGGCACACGCGTCCGCGGCCGTCAATTGGCCAGGTACCTGGCCAACAAGTGCTCCCTGGCGAGCCGCATCGACTGCTTCTCCGATGAGGCCACCACGGTGTTCGGGGAGAAGCTCAAGGACCAGGCCGAGGGACTTGCTTTTTTTTTTTTTGAGGAGGGGGAAGGGGGGGGGGTTGATGCCCATGGTGCTGCTTTTTTTTTTGGGGTGGGGGTGATTGATTCATTGAGCTGATTGGGGTTTGGGGGTCGATTGGATGTTTACTCAGGGGTTGGCTAGGAAAACCCAAGGAAAGCTAGCGCGGCTAGCGGCATTCTGAGACGCCGTGCGTGCGTGCAACGTGAGTTGTTTTGGTAGCACCTGAATTTGAAATCCCAGACCCCGGCCACTAGAGAATGCGCGAGACACTAAAAGCCTGGACCCACCATTTGCCGGTGACAGGTGGAGGAGCGGCTGACCTTCCTCTCGGAGGGCACGACACCCCGGAAGAACTTGGAGGCGCAAGTGTTTCCGTGTCTTTTTCCCGCGCGGATCTCCCGTTTTTTTTGTTTTTGTTTGTTTAAATAAATATTTTGTTTTTTTCTTTTTTGGCTTGTTTTTTTGAGAAGGACAGGCTTAGCCGGGGATCCTGACACGGGAGGGGCGGGGAATCAGCCTCCAGAAAACCTGTGAATCACGGGATGCAGGAGTTGCTTTGAACCGGGGAGTCCTTCAAGAAGAGTTGGGGCTCGTTTACTCGACCTTCGTAGGAGGTCGATTGTGTACGTCCCCGTTGGCTCATCCCTTTTTTTATCCTTGCAGTGGGCCTTTTGAGGCGTGGGAGTTGTGCCATCTAATGTTGACCCCATATGAATCAACCCCCAGCTTATTATTACGGGGGGTGTCCCTGGGCTTAGTGCGGAGTCATCACTTTTGGGTGGGAACACCCCCCATATTCATACACTGGGGTTTTATAATATGGGGTCAACATTTCCTCCTTTTCCCCTTGAGGCGCGGGAAAGGGCCAAGAATTCGAAGTCGCAAGTCGCGTCTGTTCGCGTCCTGGTTCGCCGCGAGGTGATGCAGGAGGCCATCAAGGAGGCGGGGGAAAGACTCGGGCTCTCGTTCTTGGCGTGGCCTGTACCTGGTTCCCCGAAATGGCAGAAGGTTTTTTCTGGGTTCCAAGAAAAGGTGTTTTCAAGGCCACACTCTCATTTTTCCAAGGGGAGAGTTGGGGAGAGCTTCGGAACCTCTCGATTTGCGAGTGCTCAGGTCACAAAGCAGCGCAAGAAGAAGGCCAAGAAGGCCCGAGTGGGGTGGCACTCCACTGATGGGAGTGGGGGCCTTTTGTCTCAAGAGGATGGTCGTCGTAGTACCCTCCCACCAACTAACATGGAACTGCAAAAAGGCCCTTTCCAAGAGGAAAGTCGTCTTTCTACAGGGGGTCTGTGCACTTTCATGTTAGCTGGTGGGAGGGTATGTCGCCCAAAACCCGACCTCCACCTGCATGGGTGCCGGATCGGACGGTTGGGCCGAGCCGCAACGAGCTGCTCTTCATCCGGGGTGTGAACCTTTTGGGGGGCCTACTGGTACCTGATTTGCATGTCTGTCTTGGGCCCACCCGAACTGTGGTGTGTTTTTTGAGGCTCGGTGCACCATTCAGCTTGGCAACAGCAAACAACAACTCAGAGAGGAAGGCATTTTTTTTTGGTTTGTGGGGGGGGGGGGTTCTCCAGTTTGGCACATTTCAAGGTTCTCCTCGGTTGGTGGTTTGGATTTGGATTTGCCCGTGGGTCAAAACTAGGTAATTACCCAAAATGGGTTGCCCTGGCAAATGGACACATGGACGAGTCAACCGGTCCAATTCCTGGTGGCTGAAGCCCTGGGTCTAAAGCGGCCTGGGGAGCTTCCCCCGGCTCCGTGGCCAGGCTGCGGCGGCGAAGGCGGCAGAGGAAGCGGGGGAGGTGTTGGAAGAGGGCGCGGTGCCGAAGAAGAAGCCGCCCGGCAGAGAGAGGAGGCGTCAAGAAGCTCCTGGTTTTGGGTCTTGTTTTGTGATACAATCATTTTCTCCGGTCTCTGTCTGTGGTTCTTGTTGGATGTGTTGGTTTTGTTCTTCCCCTTTTTTTTCTTTCTTTTCTCTCTGTTTTTTTGGAAGCAAGGGGTGTGGGTTTCTGGGGCGGCGAACCTCGGAAGTTTCCGCCTTGGGCGTAATTTTCTAGTCTTGCGGCCTGCGGGCTCGAGGCGAACTTGGGTTTTGGACGCTTGGAGGTCATCCACCACTTCTGTTGAGGGCGGCAAGCTCCGCTGGAAGCACCTAATAGTGGTAATAATGGCAGATAAGCCATGCCTGAAAATGGTGTTGACAAAGCGCGAACTCGACTTGTTGGTCGAGCATTTGGTGGGCCTCCTGATTTTGAGACAGACCCCGTGGTGGGGCAGGCGTGCTGGGCCTTACAACGTTGACCGCCTTTTCCACCGGCTTGATTGGTGCTGTTTGCCAGTTGGATTTTCTGCCAGCGTGTTGCTTTTTTGTTACTGGTTGTTCTTGTTTTAGTTTTGGCAGCATGTGCCTTCCACTTTTGCTGCTGGCGTGTGGGGGCTTGGAACCTGACTCCTGACTCCCCTTTGGCTAAGACATGCTGTTCTTGAAGGCGGAGCCTCTGCCAGAGGTTCCCTCGACATTTGCCACGGGGTTTCGGAGGGTAATGCCAAAATTTTGCACTTTGAGGGAGCTGGACACATGGGTGTGGGTCAAATTAAACCACTAGGGGACCGCAGGTTTTAGTCCATGTTTCAATTTACCAGGGTTCATTTTGGGTTGACCCACACCCGCACTGAAGGTGGGTCTTGTTTTGGAACTTCCCACGCCTGCGTCCGAGGAAGCGTGTGCAAGAGGAGGTTGCGGAGGAGGCCGTGGAGGAGGAGGCGCCGAGGAAGAAAAAGAAGAAGGCCGCTGCGACGCTTGGCTGGAAGGAGTCGATTCCGACTGCTCCCAAATAAAGCCGTGGTTCATTTTTTGGGGAGGGAAGCTAGAAGATCCTTTGGTGAAGGTCCTCTGCTAGCGCGCTCCCTTTTTTCCCGGTTTTTGAATTATCCAAGTTTGGGCAGAAAGGCGGCAAGAGCCTGCCAAGCGGTGAGGCCGTGCCATGAGAGAGCGGCAGCAACGTCACATGCAAGCATGGAGCCGGAGAGACTGAATGTTTTGGGCTTCATAAAGAGGTTCCGTAGCGCCGTAGCGCCGTGTTGGGCTGTGGTTGGTCGCCGTGGCGAATCCTAGCTCATCTCAGTTCGGTGAGCGTCGATCGTTCAGATTGTGTCGGATGATGACTTCTGTTGGGTTCGGCTTCCCAGCCCCGTCCTTCAACGGGAAACCGGGGGGGGGGGGGGGGACGGCTTCTGAGGTGATGCGAAACTTGCGGCGGGTATTGTACAAAGGGTAGCGATCAGCTTTCGAGAAGGGCGAAATCCGCCGGCGAAATCGTCGAAATCGCAAGAGGCAACTTCTCTCTTTTGAGGGCATGGGTCAGAAACAATTTCTTTCCCGGCCACGAGCCGGTGGTCTCTTTCAGACTGCGCTTACTGGACAGTGCCAGTGGGTCGTTTTTTGAGGGCACTCTTTTCTGGTTGATTTCAAAGGGAAGCCAAATGCAAAGCCCACAATTGTTAGGTTCCCCTTTTTCAGGACACACCCATGTATGCACAGAGGGATCACCCCAGTCAAACGCTGACGCGCCCGGGAGGATTTCACCCCACCCCTCCCCCGCTTGAAGCGGTTCATTTCTCGAGCCGTGGAAGTTTCACCCGGCGGAACTCAGAAAGCGAGCTGTTGGCGTCTTCACATGCGCAGGTGCAGCGAATTATGGAGACCTATGGGGTGAGCCTCAGCCATGATGACGCTTCCTTTGTAGGCTTGCTGGTTAAGTTATACTTCACCCAAATGTGCGTGAGTAAATGTATTGACGGGAGCTACAGCACATTTGTGCATGCGTGCGTGTGTCGGTGTGTCAGCTGGCGGTTTCCGAAGCAAGTCGAGCGGAACACTGCTAAATGTGGACCCCAGCTGAATAAACCAGGTGGGATTTTAGGGGTGTTCTTCAACCAAGGGCATGTCGTCCAAAAGCAGGACACCGCACATCAAGGCGTTTTCGGAGCTGCAGAAGCCTGACTGGGAAGAGCCATGTGCTGGGACCGTTTGCAGAAATCCTCTGGAAAAAACACACCGACCTGGAAGGATCTGGCGCAAAGGAGGATAGTTCTTTGCAGACTGCTTTACAGGACACCTGAGTTTGTAGGGTTCACAAAAAAGTGCAGGTTTACTCTTGGGGGAATACCGACCTGGTCTCAAAAACCGGGCGAACCCCTGGCTTGCGCAGAGGATTTTCTGGGAGCCATCTTCCCTGCACACCTCCAACACTTTGTTGCATCTCGCTTAGATGTTAGGAGTTTAGCTTTTTGCCAACTAATGGGTTTTCCGTACTAAACCACTAAAAGTTAAACTCTTAGCAGGGGAGCAGAAAGCAACCGAGAAAACAACAGATCCACACCACCCTTTCCAAGGGCCTGGATGCTTGGAAAGGTCCTGATCTGCGCGCGGGCGATGCTTTCTTGAGCTTCCCCGGAAGGTCGAGGGTGCTTGCAAGCGCCGGCCCCCGTGGACCTGGAAGGCACCGAAGGCCTTTTAGGGGTGTACTCAAATGCAGGAACTTCCTGACTTAGTGTGCTTAAGGAACGGGGCGGTGGCAAATGAAAAAGGTCGCTGAGTTGAAGGGCGTTTCTGGTTGGAGGTTGGTGGCAATCATATTGTTGCTTCTGTACGTCCTTTCCTTGCAGCTGGCGCCGCTCGCCCACTGCGTGTCGAGCCCCCCCCCCCCCGGTGCAGCTCTGGCCTGTACGAGCTTCATGTTGTTGGCCACTGCATATCAGCTACATCCACATGTTTGCTCACGTCAAAAAATGGATGGGTGAGCAAGCCACTGCAAGGCAGACACATCTTAAGCACACCCCTAAATCCTTAGGTGCAAGGAATTATGAAAGTTGACCTCGGCTTCACTGGAAGTACTGATGCCCGCATGACGATTAGGACCCTCCTGGGGTTTCCCAGTCCCTACATCTCTACCCCCGATAAGGGGGAGGGGGGAGGGTCAATTTCTTTAGGTACAACCCCAAACTCTTTGGTTCAAGCCCAAACTGCTTAACAACCCCAACTCCTTAAACACCCCGAAAAGCTCAATAGGTGGGAGGGCTTGTATTTAAGGAACCCCTGTGTCGCTTCCAGCACAAATTCTTGTTTGGAAAGCTGACTTTTTGACATGTTTATTTTTAAAAGCCTGACAAGCAATCGGGGTTTACAACAGCCACAAACCAGGTTTTTAGGTGGAATCGGACCTGGGGAGAGCAAGCGTCTTCTTAAATGCAACCCCTCCCCGCTGTATATATTTAAGCTTGTGGGGTTGTACTTAAGGAGCAGGGGTTGTACCTAAGCAGTTTGGGGTTGTACCTATGCAGTTAAGGGTTGTACCTAAGCAGTTTGGGGTTGTATCTAAGAAAATTGAAGATGTAGGGACTGGAGGGGCAGCTTCAACTGGGAGTGAAATAACTTTCCTGGATGTAACCCACTCTGCAACTCCAGATCCTAATCGTCATGCGGGCATTGGTAATTGCAGTGAAGCCCGCAATATAATCAGCTCAACTGCGAAAATTTACCAACATGATGTTGCAATCTCCTTCGCCTTTTGTTGGGAGGGTGCTTAAGGAACGGGGTGGTGGCAAATGAGATTGGTCGGTGAGTTGAAGGGCGTTTCTGGTTGGGAGTTGGTGGCAATCAAGTTGCTGGCCGAAATAATTGTGTACGTCCCCTTTGCGTTTGGGACGCCGTGCGCGCTGCAGAATCACACAAATGTGTTGCAGTGTTGCCTTCTGTGCCTCAAACAACTGACTTTTCTCGATTTGCCCTCTTGAAATCCAGGGCGGCTGGGATTTGAAACGCGCACACCTTTTAGTGCATTTTCTGCAAACACGTCCTCAAGTTCAAGATTTTGTTTTTTGCATCCTTTGTGCCAGGCCCCTTCCTGAAGCGCAGCCCCCTGCTCTTAAATATAGTTTTTTTTTTGATTGATTTACGTTTTAGCTTCACATTTGCGGTGTATGTGGAGCAGTATGTGTGGCAGTCAAAGAGAGCAGTCAACATCTTTGGTGCTAAGAATCCCCTGTTGACAGCTGTCAATCAAGTTGCATCAGGCTCCACAGGGGCACCTTGTCGTGGAAGGGCCCAAACCCGGAGAAGACAGACGCGGCGGAAGACGTGGCGGACGGCGGGCTCCGCCATGCAGCGAATGCCGGAAGGAAAAGTGGCGACATGTTTTGGCCGCGGAAGATTGCGGGAGGTGGCTTTTTGATTGCAGGGCTCAAGCCTTCTTTGTTCGTTTCCTTACAAGGGTTTGTCTTGTTTAGGGGGAGCCCCTTTTGAGAGAATCTGAGGGTGAGGCCCTTTTAAGGGAATCGTTCCAGTGGGCGGCGACCAGAGGGGTACTCGGCGGGAGGGTTGCTTTTTGCGCCCTGAAGCACCTGTCAGCCCATTGGGGAATGACCACCTGGGTCTCCAAAGCGATTTATTATTCTCGGTGCGGGCAAAATGATTCTCGCAGGGATCCAAGAGATGCGTTGGGCGGAGGCATTTGGCCGGAGAGTTCTGTGTTTCCCCCGCGTTCGTGTTGTGCGACAGCTGGACCTTGGTGCGCCCGTGTCTTGCGAGGAGCCATCCCCGAAAAGACCATCAGGGGTTGTTTCCCCCAGAAGTAAAGGGGTGACCGGATTTTCCTTGACTGGCAACACCTGGCGCAGTCTGAGGTTCTATCCATGGCATGGGGGGTCGGGCTTGGGATCATGCCCTCAAAGTCAGGTTTCCGATTTGGTTGGGTTCTGGAGTTTGTGTTGCCAACACCCCTTTTGTTCTTTTCAACTGCCGGGCACGGGCAGCTTGGGCTTCTCCCATGGTAAAAAGACAGGCCTTTCCTCCTCTCCAGCCGTTTCTAGGCGAAAAGGCGGTCGTGGCGGAGCCGGCCCCAGGCGCCGATGCCCGGAGGGGGATGCCTGAACCATTGCAAGTGAGGGAACAGGGACACCCTCAACAAGGAATCGCTTGCCGCAGTTCTTTTTTCTCGGAGCGTGGTTGGTTTTGCAAAATCTTTCGGGGCATCCACCGCAGTGCCGTGGCGTTTTGCCCTGGGACGCCCTTGGAGAGCCCCGGCCAGGGCCGGCGTCGGCGTCCGAGGTGAAGAGGACGGCTGGGAAGGGGGTCGTGTCAGGCTGATTCTCGCCGAGTTTGTGGGGGGCCTCAATTGCCGTGTTTGTCCTAGGTTGGCTGGAAAAGAAGAGAGAGAGAGAGAGAGATCAGGGTACCCAGAGGCATTTTCTTTTACATACCCAAGCAGACGAAGCCGTTTGCGACTCTGGTGAAGGTGTTCGATTGCCAGCTTTCGATGGGTTCGCGCATTTTGGTGTCTCACGGCCCTTTTACTGGGAAGCGGCCCCGCACAAAGTGCCCAACCAAGACGTGAGTCTGGTCGATGTTGGTTAGGGCTCTCCGATTTGAGAGGCATCCGGATCACGAAGTGCCCTAAGTATCAATCCGGACGTTACTGCAACCAGATAGGTGGCGTTCGACGGGGGGGGGGGGGGAAGCGGCTCGCCGCGTTTTTTTTTTTCCCCTCTGCCGCAGGAAGAAGAAGGAGAAGGAGTTCGCTTGGATGGCGGGGCACTCAGAAAAAGTGCCGCAAGCCTCCCATTCAGTCCACTGGCGAGCTGGTCCAGAAACCTGGATCCTTTGGGTCATGCACGCTCCCGGAGTCCCAGTTCTCCAGCAGCACCTTGCGTTTTTGTTTTTGTTGTTCGGTGGCTTCACGTGGCTGCCTCGCTAAACATGTTCTCCCAAAATTCGACCCTTTTTCTGTATGAGAGAACACCCTTCCCAAGTCCGGCTCATTCGCTGAGCCAACAGCACGAAGTTTCCGACTGTGTTTGGTGTGTGTGTGTGTGTGTGTGTCCAGTTCAATCAAAAAGGCAGACCTTTGTCCCTAGGACCCCCCGCCCACCATATGCATCAGCCACTGAGGATTCCGAGGAAGAGGAAGAGGAGGAGCCGGATGAAGGCAAATGACGGATGGGGTGCGATGTGGGCCACCGAGCAAGTGTGAGACGTTGCCGGCTCAACTCGGCTTTTGCTCAACCCTAGTACCCTTTGGGAAATGGGTTTGCCTCAAACTCGGGGAACCGCAAAGGGTGGTCTTCCTTTGGCTCCCCTTCAGAACCCCCAAAAAGGGTACCCTCAAACAAGACACACCCGAATGACTCTGCTGGGCAGCGTGCCCTCTTTATAGTCACGGAAGCTGACGGGACCTTCCATGATCGTCGAGATAGGCTCACTCAAGGGTCGACGAAAGCTACTGGCGCCTGGGAAGATTGCGTGACGAGCGGTTCCGAAGC